GATGGGCCAAAGCAGCTTGTTTGTGTAAATGGGTAGGAAGAAAAAAGGTGTGAAGGAAAAGGGAGCAAGTTGCTGAGGGTTTTCACTGAGGTCAATCTCACGAAAAGAAATTTCAATCTATTTTTCTAGATCTCATTTTCTAGAAAATTACTCTGTTTATGTGGAGTAGATTTGTTTGCAAATCTTAAAATTAGAATGTATACTGCAGGACTAATTTTGAACTTTAAAATATTGTAGCACCCTCCTCAAAGACAAAAGTGGGGGATATATGAGATAGAATGGGCAAAATGTTGACAGTCCTTGAAGTGAGGTGATGTGTATATGGGGGTTTATCGTACTTTCTCTCGATTTTAGTGCATGTTTTAAATTTTCTATAATATTTTTTAAAGTAGGAACATGTAATCTTCAAAGAGATTTAAGGACAGAATCGTTTTTGCACTGCACTTTCTCAATGAGAGAAAATCACAAGGATGCTACGCACAAGAAGATTAATATGACATTCCATTTCCTGTGAAAATGAATATTAACTCCTAGAACCACCCTGAAGGAACATCAAATCAAAGCACTTTTGCTTCCATGTTTGACTGCCAAGCAGAATCTATGAGACTGTAATAGTTCTTAGTCCCATGATTAACAGCATCTCCATGTAGACATGATCTGCTTCACTGGGTAATAGAATAAGCAAAAAAATAAATAAAAAGTAAAGATTCTACATTGCTTTCCTTAAGTATGGGCTGGTAAAATATGTCTTTTTAATATATAAATAAATGAGGGTAATGCTACAAATAAAAGTCTCAAGGTTAAGTAGCTAATGTACTCATTTAGGGTTTTTTCCCTACAGTGGGTAAGCCAGATTTACAGTAATCTGAAATCTTACTTTATGATCTACAGGATGCATTTGAGCTGCAGTTGTCTGTGATTATATGTATTGTCGTGAAATGTCAAAACTAATTTGTTATTCTGCTTTTGGTTAATGTATAGAAAGTTGTAGGAGACCATCACTCCCAATCTAACAACTAAAGCAAGCTGGATAAGCTATAAAATCATAGGTTTAAAAAATCCACAAGGGTGATGAGGATGCAAAAAAACCTAAATAAACTAAATTCAAAAAAGTTACAAGACCTTCACAGGAGAGAAGAAATCCATGGCTGCCTCATCCCTGGCAGAGTAGCAGGTGGAAGATAAATCCACTGTAGATGGAGGTAAGGAGAAATAAGCCAACTCTTCAATGAATTTTTACTGGGGTGACAGATTAGAATTCTGAGGAGCCCTAGGCATAGACTGAGCCTGCATCCTTCCACCAAACTTCCTCATGGTCTTTGCCAAGTGCACAGGTCATACATAAAAGGGTGGACAGGTAAGGCAGGAAAGTTGAGGGAAATCCCCCCCAACAAGACACAGAGTCTCCATCAAATGTAAGGAAGCCACTTTCCTAAGATGGGCAGGAGAGCTGAGAGAAACCCCTCTGAGGCATTCAGACACTTCTGAAAGGGCTGAGGCGTCTGCCCTCTGAAGACTGGGGCAGAGCAGTGGAGCAAAGAAAGCTCTCCCGAGACTCAGAAAGCTGGGGCATAAAAGAAGACACAGAATATTCTATGTTTCTATGCGACTTTCTATGCAACTTTCTGGGATGATGGAAATGTTCTATATCTTGTTTTGGGTGGTGGTTACATGAGTATATAATATTGTCAAAACTCATTGCAATGAACACCTAAGAAGTGCGCATTTTAAGCTATTCTTCAATTTAATAAAAAACAAAACAAAAAAGAATGTAATATGAAAAACAAATACTAGCTGATCCTTTCAATCACCTCCTCAGAGGAGACAGGTTAGATTTTGAAAATCTGGTCTCTCCATCTGAGAGCTGGTAAGCAGAAGCCAGAAGATCTTAACGCTTATGGTTTAGATACAGTGTGGATAAGCTGTGGCTGGTCTCAAAGTTTTACAGGGACCTTTTAAAGAATGTTGTTTGCAGGTTGAAGGGATATATATGCCAAGCGAGAAATCTATGGGAAAATTGATGGAGGTGAAAAGAAATAAAGACACAAGTATTCCAACAATAAATGGAAATAAAGAGAAATTTAACTTTTTGTCTTGAAGTATAGTTATTCTAGAGTTCTAATCTCTGTCTAAATGCTCTGATGCCCCATTTTTCTTGCTCTTTCTCCCTGAAAACACACCCCTACCAGTAGGAAAAAGAAAGCTTGTCTTCCTGCTAATGAAGCTGAAGAGAAAAGGCCTTCCTTCCTCTGACAGGATGTTCTTAGGGCTTTGTGAGAGGGAATTTTGCTGGTGCCCTACGGCAGCATGTCACTTTTACAGCTCCTTCTTTCATCATCTAATTGCGGGTGAAATGAAAAGAAGGAAACTAAGTCCTGATGACTGTGTGTCCTAGGAAAGGTTCAGGGTAGCAGAGCTGGCATGGGTGAGCAGAAAGAGGACTCAGTAGCCTGTCAGAAGCAGTGGCTTCCAACTTCTTCTCTCCAACAACCTGAGTTATGAAGGCATAATGATCTAGTGGAATAATAATAACACCCAAATAGAATAAGAGTAGCACCTAACATTGATTGAGAGGTGAGTTTGCACCAGCCACTATACTAAATCCTACCTATCTACTAATTTGACCCTTACAGTATCTTTGAGGTAAGTACTATTATCATAATTTTACAGAGAGGGAACTGAGAAGTTTCCACAGTCTGTTAAGTAGTGGAACGCTGCATTTGAAATCAGGCTGCCTGTCATGAGAACTCAACATCTGTAAGTCCTTCTACACGAAACACTATTCTGCTCCCCCAAAGAATGGAAACAGGCAGATTTGGGAGTTGGAAAGCCCTGAGTTCAAATCCTAGTTTTATCATACGCTGGTGATATGGCCTTTGGAAGGTGAGTTAACCTCTCTAAGCCTCAGTTTTATCTATAAAATATAGGTAACCTAAGAACTCACAAAACTACAGTGAGGATTATAGACAATTAATGTAAAGAGCCTGGCTCCTAGTAGCAGTTCAACAAATGGTAGTTATTATTGATGATAATAAATCATATTACTTCTTTAATACTCATTTCTGGATCATATACATATATATTGTGTATATTTGTGTGTGTGTCTCTATGTAAAGTATACATAAAGGAATTGATATGGACAGAAAAGGAGAAATTAAAAATAGAATAAAAGTTGTCTTTCATAATTGCATACACACATATTTTTTTTCGTAATTTCTTTCTCTAGAGGTGCTGAACAAAGCAACTTAACATTTTACTTGAGGAGTGCAATTGATACACACGTAAGGGGACTGTTGTCCTGGAGTACAGAACACTCATTGGAACTGAAAGGTAAACATTTTAATTTGCAAACATTGAAATGTCATGGTGTACTAGCAATATTGCAAGTCTTGGAACCACTCACACTTCAGTTCAAATCTTTCTTCTACTAATTTATGGCTATGTGACCTAGAACAAGAAAGGTTATTCACTTTCTGGAGCTTCAGTTTCTCTCATCTGTAAAATGGAGATAATTATGCCTGGTAGTTGGTGTTAATGATTAAAATACATATTAAACTTCATAATGATTATACGTGTAAAACACCTGGTCTCTAGTAGATGTTCCATAAATGGTAGCTAAATTAGAATGACCATTATGCCTCTATGTCCTCTATCATAGTCATACCAGAAGTCAACCACAACTTCCATTTGTTTTCTATAAGTCTTATAGTAACATCTTACTATAATTACATATCAATTACTAGAGTCTCTCTAGGACTTGCCCAAAGACAGAGCTTAAAAATTTATTAATTTTAAAGCTTTTCTTGATTAGGTACAAAAAGAATTAAGTTAGGAAACAATCTCTTTTTAAGTCAGTGGAAGTGAGTGTCTTATTAATTTTTATTGCAAATTAACTTATGGTTTTAATTAATTATATATTTTTAAAAATTTTAATTAGATTTTAATTAAAATTCTTTAAAGTCTAGAAAGAAGTATTTTTCTCTGTATTTTAGTCAAGTCTTTTGGGGTAATAGGCTGGCTGGCTCAGAGACTAAAAATTGAACTTTTTTCTGTATGTGGCCTTTAAAACATATATACATACTCTCTTACTCATACACACACACACACACACACACACACACAAAATCAGACATGGAAGAAAGAGAGGCAAAGTTTGGGAAAAGTCAGAGAAAACCGTAAGCAAAGAAGTCAAAAGAGCTGTAGAATATGAAAACAAGAGGGAAACAGGGTCAAGTGAGAGTTGTCCAGGAAAGACAAAAACATCATCTTTGAAAGGGATGTTGTGGGCACTCATTACATAATATCTGCAGAAGCGTTCTGGTCTCCTGAGAGATGGGCACTCTGTCAACACAAGGTATTATGGTTTCTGTCTTTATAACTGAGAGATTGATATTCTTTGGGAAGAGTCCACATCCAGTGTGGAAGGAACACAATTGGAAGTCTGGAACAGCACTTTCCCCTTTTTCTCCAACACAAAAGTCTCCTTCCAGTGTGCGACCTTCCATGCAAAACAGCTCATTTTTAAAGCTTAGTTCCAGTCTCTTAAAGATCCTTGGTTACCAGCCATGGGAAAGGATATCATGTGACAAGGGAAGTGGCCTGCTACAATCACCCTTAGTGAAGAGAACGCAGCAGCATTTGGTAGTCAGAAGAATTCTTAATCATTCTAGAAATAGAGAGAGGATACCATACTCTCGTTTTTCAACCTCTCACTTTCCCTTGTGAAAATATTTCAGGGTGACAATTAATGGGATATAGCAGTTAAATTCCTAAGAAGGTTTAAAAAGCATATTGTAGGAGTACGTATTCACTTCGGCTTGAAAAAAAAAAGAAAAGGGAAAAAAAAGCTGAAGGAAAGTGTTTTTTGCTGTCTCTCCACCACCACTGATTATGAAATGTGTGTTCATGCTAGGATGGCTGAACAGTAGGAGACATCATAGTATGAATATCATAATCAGCATATACAATAAGCAAGTGGTGTGAAATATTAAGTCACTTACCTTGTCAGTAGAAGAAATAGTTGGCAAATCCTCGGGAGCCAATGTGGTATCATTAGATAAGGAGATATTAACTGTAAAAAAAGAAGAAAGACAATTTTTTTATTATAAAAGTAAAATAAAAAATGACCTAAATGAATAATTAGGAATATAAAAAAGCAGGGCTAGGCATTAAAAATGCTTTAATAACAACATAAGAGCACAATTAATTTTTCTTTATTATAACTGTATTCACCTTTCACCTAGATAAAATAACCAAAGACTTGGACACATCTGCTGCACTCTGATCTGATAAGAAACAATGACAGATATTTAAGGAGATGGTATGAAAATTTATTTGTGTCAGGTTTCCAAAAAACACTTCTCTTTTACTAAAAGGCACTCAATATATTTTGCCTAGTGGAAGAAATGGCTGTTAATAAGTGAGTAAGCTTCATGTACGGTCAAATCTCACAAATTAGAGTTTTACTAATTAAGAAGTAACTTATTTGGAAGTCTGGAGTGAGTATGAGCAAGCATCTTTGCAAAATGTGTGAAAACAAAGTACTAAATAAATAAGAAATTATATAAATATAACGGGGACAAATATTTAATCTAATTTCAAAAATTGTTTTCATATAATTTGGCATCATTTGTAGATTTATTAAGATGTCACTTGCAGAAGGATCTAATTTATTTATCAAATCAACCCTCCTCTTGGACATATTTCATTGGGTTATTTTCCTATTTATGTACCTAAAATTAAACATCTTATTTAAAAAATATTCTACAATTAAAACATTTTTTTTATCAGATAAGCCTTTTTCCTATTATCAGTTACCCAGAGAATGTGGCTAATTTGCGGTAATATTGTGAAATAACACTTAGCAGGTTTTTGTCTTTAAGGATCACACAGTTCATGGAACATCTAAATTGCTACTTAGTGTTTGGTCCCCAAGCTATCCCAGCCCCCAGGCCCCTAGCCTGCCTTTTCAGCTTGCCATGTTTTAGGTTCGCCTACACATACTTTTAAGGAGAAACAAACAGGTTTATTTGACTGTTGAAATTCAGAATATAAGATCCATGAGGGAAGAATAGAAGGGGCATGTCTTGTTCACTGCTCTTCCCCAGACTCTGCCCAGTCTGGCACTTAACTAACAGGAACTCAAAAATATTTGTTTATTATTCAACCTTAAAAAAGAAGGAAACCCTGCCATTTACAACAACATGGATGAACCTGGAGGGCATTATGCTAAGTGAGATAGGCCAGACAGAGAAAGGCAAATACTGCATGGTATCACTTATAGGTGGAATGCAAAAAAAAAAAAAAAGTCAAACTCATAGAAACAGAGAGTCAAATGGTGGTTGCCAGGTGTTGGGGGGTAGGGGAAATAGGGAGAGGCTGGAAAAATAGTATAAACTTTCAGTTACAAGAAGAATAAGGTCTGAGGATGTAATGTGTAACATGGTGACTATAGTTGATAATATTGTATATATAATGAAATCCACTAAGAGAGTAGAACTTAAGTGTTCTCACTAAATAAACTAAAATAAAATTGGGCCAGCCCCAGTGGCCTAGTGGTTAAATTTGGCATGCTGCCCTTCAACAGCCTGGGTTCAGTGCCCAGGCACAGACCTACACCACTCGTCTGTGAGTGGCCTTGCTGTGGTGGTGGCTCACATACAAAAAGAGAAATATTGACAGCAGATGTCAGCTTATGGCAAATCTTCCTCTGCAGAAAAAAACAATAATAATTAAAATGAAAACAATGTGTGAGATGATGGACGTGTTAATTAACTCAATAGTGGGAATCCTTTCACAGTGTAGACACATATCATATCACCACAGTGTACACTTTAAATGTTACAATTTTATTTGTCAATTATACTTCAATAAAGCTGAAAATAATTTGTTTATTGTCAATGAAATAAGCTAGGAAAGGGGCCATTTAATGACTACAAATGAATGTGAGAAGATAAAGGCAAAAGAAATGAAATGAGAAAAATAAATAAAAGGGGAGAAAATATTTAGCTTCAGTCTTTGTTTTTCTCAATTTTGGTATCCATTCTGATCTTTGAAGACTTTGGAATTAAGCCTTTAACCTCCAGCTAGCTGCTGCAGGGCTTTTGTATTTCATCAGTAAAACAAGCACACGTGCAAACTGTCTCCTTATCCTCTCTGTTTCATTATAGGTCACAGAAAGAATCAAAGTAGGCTAACGGATGCTTGGCCCAAACAAGAAAACCATGGATTTCATGGATCCACTTCCAAAAGGAAGATGTTAGTAAATAATCATTAACAAAACCTAGGTTTTTACTACTATTTTCTTCTAAAAAGCTTAGAGTATATTTTCTTGCATTATTCCATGTGTTCACTTAAAAACATACGAGAGCATGTAACATGTATACTATTATACCCATTTTATGTTGGATGGGACTCTGAGCAAGGGATGTTAGGTTCCTTGCCCAGGATCATAGAGTTAATCAGAAGTAGAGTTGGTACCAAAACCTTGTTCAGCATTCTTCTTTTCCTACCCAGTATTTCTAATCATCAAAATCAAGATGATTTATACGGCCACAGAATTCAAGGTGGGACAGTACTCGCCAATGTTAGATGATGTGAATCTCAACTGTTAGCCAAAACGTCTGACCTGTCCAAGCGTTTGAATGAAAACAGCATATATGAAATCACAGGCACTGTTTAGATGGTGTCTGGGAAGCTGCTCTTCCTGAACTAGATTCTTTAATGCAATTTTTGTGAGCTTCCTGTCACAAGAGAGTGGAGGTCTTTTTGCAACACACTTTTCTGCATAAAAACAAGGAGCAAGAAGTAAGAGAGAAAGATATTCAAGGCTCCTTCTTTCTGAAATGAATGACAGATAATAAAGACCGTGAGTGAACTAAAATAGAATTCCAATCTGAACTTTTTAGTAACTGCTCTCAAGTTTTGGATACACGTCAATTCTGCTCATCTAAATTCCTTTTATCTTTTTAGTTTTCCTCTGAAGCAAGCTATTAAAGTGCAGTGGCTCTCAAAACCCCCAAAAAAAACAATATCAAAAAGACAGGAAAAAAATGTAAGCTTTTCCTACTTGTTTTAATAAGCAGCTGCTTCAAGAGAGAGACTTCAAAATAAATAAACAAGCACTTCCATAAATACATATTGGCAGAATATGGCAGAGTCCATAAACAAGATTAAAAGTAAATTTCTTTAAGCTCACACAAGAGAAAACGACCAATTCCAATTGAGAGCTTGGTTTATAAGAGCCAATGGTCACCATTTGGATCCAGACACACACAATGCAAATATTTTGGCAATCAACTGCAGAATGATCTGTGTATACAGAATTTCCAATATCCTTAATTAGGAGTCTAGAAAGGTCAAACGGAAAAGCCAAAATGCACTGCACTTTGTCTGTCTTCACTATTTTCTAAGCACCATGGATTATGAAGCAAAGAAATTCTTTGCCCTAGGTTCTCTGGCTAATTCAGAATTAGCCGATTGTCACTGGGACACTCTGTGTCCCATACTTGGTTTCAGGGAGTTTCCACAGGTTGATCATTTTATGTTACTTGGATTTTCACTTCTTGATCCTCCTTCCCGTGTATCAAATGCTAGCTGATCCTCTGGAACAAGGGAATGAACATTGTCAGTAATAGACATTTAAAAATGTGTCTGTGAGTTTTTGATCGTTAGCTGGCTTTTCCTTCTTTATGTTTAATGAGAGATCCTGGAGAAAGAACGGGCTGCAGGAGCTATAAGCGGACACATCCATGTGTCAATGTTATATACCTCCCGCATAGGGAATATCAACCGCACTGATACCAACTGCACTGTTTAAGGTTGTCCTTCTTTATCCTCTAGTGACCTGGCACCAGGAACTACCCCATAATGCCTCTGCTTTACACATTAGCAGGAACTATACCATCAGGAATACGCACAAAGCTCACTTGAGGCTATGAGGTCAAGTATGAGCAACCACTGGCCATTGAGGCAGATATGTCTGCTTTGATGTATCACCACACCACAGTGTGGAGAAAGAAGTACCAGGAGAACTGGGCTGGAATTCTGGCTCCACCACCTCCTGAAGCACAGTGTCCCAAACTCCTTTGCCACATAATCTTAAGGAAGTTACCTCACTCCTCTCAACCCTCACTCGTCAGGTCCCTTATTTGTGAAATTGGATTTGAAACCATCCACTTTACAAGGCTACTGTGTGGATTAAATAAGACAATGTAGGCAAAATTGCTAGCACAGTGTCCAGTACCAGAAAAGATCTAAATAAATGGTAGCTAAGGTGACTACTAGCTTTATGACCTGGAGAAAGCAGGACTTTGCCCCTGGAAAGAATGTCAGCTACTTCTCAAGGTTTGTGTGATGATTAAATACCTATATATTATATTATAATAAATAGTAAAATATAGTTTATTCAAATCCCCTAGTAAAATGTCTGGGACTTGGATGGTGCTTAATAAATGTTAGCCAAATCTGAATCTATACTCTCAACACAGCTTTTTAGCATTACAATAATGTGGAACTGCTTAACCTGCTCTGAATAAGAAAAAATTTAAGAGCATTCTCCATAATAGGGAAACTTTAATGTTTTCTTCCATTCTATTTAAGCAACAGCTTGAGAAAATTGAGCAACTGGAAAATAGGTATAGAATAAAACTGAATAAGTTTCTTGTCTGTATGGTCATGTCAGATTTAAGTGTCCTGGAAAACTTAAGCACCTGAGTGCTTCTTGATATAGTCAAATATTTATACTTTAAATTTATAGATCAATAAAAGGGCAAAAATGGCTTTTGTAGGGATGACAAGGTGAATGAGGAAAACTTTGGGAGAAGGAGCTCTAGGTGGAATTACCTGCCACTATCTCAGCCTTAAGTCTTAAAACAACATTAATAGAAAGTTTAATAATTAATTATTAAAGTTTTCTTATAACAAGTTTTCTTGTTATAATCATTTTTGTTTCCCTAAGTATTTTTACCAAGCCTGATGCTGGAGATTTTCAATGTAATTAGGCAAGTTCAAGTTATGACACTCTTCAAAACACGGACACCCTCTTCCATGTTCACCTACGATACTGGAAGT